CACTGGGCCATCTGGAGGGCTTGCCAGGCAGCCTCCATCCACACAGGCCTTGAAGGCTGCGGCCGGGCAGCTCCTTGTCTGGGAGCTCAGGATCAAAGTGCAGTGCTAGAGGTGGTGAGGCCCAGCCAGAAGCAACAGAAGGGAGGGTGGAGAGGTGATCTGACCCGATTATAATTCCAGCCTGGGAAGTGTTTGTAAACATGGGACAAGGGTCAGCAGTTTAAAACTCGTGTTGCTCTTGCAGAGGACCCAGGCTCGGTCCCCAGTGTCTACACAGTGGCTCACAGCATCATAACCCAGCTCCAGGGATCCGGTTCCTTCTTCTCACTTCTGTGGGTACAAGGCACACATGTGGTATACATAGGTAAAAAACTCAATACACATAAAATAGGATAAACATATTCAAAACAAGAACCTGAGAGGAGGCGAGCCCCTTAGTATTAGAAGGCAAATCCTAAGCACATTTACCTTAGCACAAATCTAAAGGGTTGGGGTGTGTGGGGTAGAATATGATACGCCGGCCTAAAAAGCTGTTTCTGTGCTTATTGATCAGACCGAGGCGACGTGGGTGTCAGGCAAAGGGTTCAAGCCCTGACTTTGCCCAATTCATACCTGTGCAGCCTTAGGCAAGTTACCTTACCTGTCTAGAGACCAAATTGGTCATCTCTAAAATTAATGATATCACACAAATGGAATATTTCTGATGTGGGATTTCCCCCTCTGCGTGCTGTGATTACCATTAATGAATAAAAAACTGCTTTGGGCCTATAGCAGAGCTATAGGGGAACAGAGCTAGGCGGGAAAAGCTGAACAGAATGCTGGGAGAGAGGAGGAAGAGTTGGAGAGACACCATGTAGCCCTGCCAGAGCTGGACAGAACTTTAGCCGGTAAGCCACAGCCACATGGCCATACACAGATTAATAGAAATGGGTTAAATTAAGCCAGGCAGTGGTGGTGGCGCACGCCTTTAATCCCAGCACTAGGGAGGCAGAGGCAGGCAGATCTTTGTGAGTTTGAGGCCAGCCTGGTCTACAAGAGCTAATTCCAGGACAGGCTCCAAAAACTACAGAAAAACCCTGTCTCAAAAAAACCAAAAAGGAAAGGAAAGGAAAGGAAAGAAAGAAAGAAAGGGGTTAAATTAATGTGTAAGAGTTAGCCAATAAGAAGCTAGAGCTAATGGGCCAAGCAGATTTAAATAATATAGCTTCTGTGTGGTTATTTTGGTTCTGGGAGGCAAGGATGAACAAGCGGCTCTCTCCTTGCCACATATTTTTATATAAAACCTTTGGAAGATAATATGGTGAAGGTGTGAGCCAAACTTATTATTCTTCACAGTTTTATGTACCTTTCAACGTTTATCCTAATATCTATTTGCCCAAGCCTAGATATAGCTCAAGAGTTTGTATTTAATTTGTTTTTCTTCCTCGTTGAAGGTAATAAGGAAAAATATATTGTACACAGAAAACCATTTGCTGCCAAATCTCACCCAACCTCTCTCCTCTGACACATTCTTTCTCATTAAAAAAAAAAATCATTACATTTACTTATGAGGCAGGGGGACAAACATGCATGTGGAGGTCAGAGGACAACTTGTGGGAGTTGATTTTCTTCTACCATGTGGGTACCAGAGATTGAACTAGGGCCACCAGGTTTGGTGACAAGCATCTTCATCTGCTGAGCTATCCCACTAGACCAGTCTCAGCTTCTAAACCCAGACGTCCATGAATTTATATGCTACCAGCCTCTGGATATATGATGTATAGAGATAGATAGATAGATAGATAGATAGATAGATAGATAGATAGATGATAGATAGATAGATAAATAGAGAGACGTGAATAGATGATGATAGATAGATGATAGATGATAGATAGGTAGATGATAGATAGATAGATAGATTGATTGATTGATGATAGATAGATAGATAGATGATAGATAGGTAGATAGATAGATTGATTGATTGATGATAGATAGGTAGATGATAGATAGATAGATAGATTGATTGATTGATTGATGATAGATAGGTAGATGATAGATAGATAGATAGATTGATTGATTGATTGATGATAGATAGGTAGATGATAGATAGATAGATAGATAGATAGATAGATAGATAGATAGATAGATGATAGATAGATAGATAGATAGATAGATAGATAGATAGATAGATGTGATCTGCGTATCTAAGTCACAGAAATGTCACTTGTTCTTCATCCTTGTTGGCATATTGGTTTCTTTTGTGGGTCTTCATATTATTGAAGTTGACCAAGGTCACGGGAGGCAGGGACTAGGGAGTAGAGCAGGGATTTAGCTCATTTGATTTTGACTTTGTTCTAATTACTTCCTTTGTTGTGGTGTCTGTGTGTGAGTAGGGATGCCTGCTTGCCATGGTGTGTGTGTGGAGGTCAGAGGACAACTTCCAGGGGTTGATTCCTTTTCCCATATTGGTCCTGAAGATCAAACTCAGGTCATCACTTGGTAGCAAGCACCTTTGCCCATTGAGCCATCTCTCTGGCCCAAGAGCAGAAGCTTTAATTGATGGAGTACAATGTCACTTTCATTTTTCTCTTGTGATCATTCATCTGGTGCTGCAGTTGAAAAAGCTTTCCCTTCTCCAAGGTTTTTTTTTCTTCCTACTGTGTTTTCTCTCCCCTCCTCCCCTGTTTCTCTGTGTAGCTTTGGTGCCAGTCCTAAAACTAGCTCTTGTAGATCAGGCTGGCCTCCAACTCACAGAGATGTGCCTGCCTCTGCCTCCTGAGTACTGGGATTAAAGACATGTGCCATCATGGCCTGGCCTATTGTGTTTTCTTATAGAAATGTGATACTTTTAGAATTCACACCAAGCCCCATGATCTGCTTTTTAGTTACATTTTGAATATAGCTTGAGGTCTGGCCTTTGGGTGGTGGTAGTTCACATACGGGTGCCCAGTTATCCCAGCGTTCTGTACTGGAAAGATTGCCTTCACTCATTGAACCGCGGCTGCACTGTGGATAGAAATCAATTGACCGCCCAATTCAGTAGACATCTCGATCTTCATTTTATAACTATGCATTAAAATAAACCATTTGCCTTGGTGACAGGGCATGTACCTCAGTGTTGGAGCTCTAAGTCTGATCCCCTGGAGGGAGGAAAGGAGAGAGGGAGGGAGGGAGGGAGGGAGGGAGAGAGAGAGAGAGAGCGAGAGAGAGAGATTTTCTGCTCCAGTCTTTACTCTCTGAGAGTCCTTGCCAAGACCCATTGCCCCGCTGGCCACCCTCTCTTGCTCTCCACAAGCCTTGCAGTCTTACGGATTCCAGCTGTCTCAGACAATGCCTGGGCTACGATGCCTGAGGTTCGCTGAGCCCTGCACGGTAGATAGAATTCTGCTTAGATGAGCGAATGGGTCTAGGGAGGGTCCCACATCATGTTTTCCAGAAACAAAATGACCATAATTCCAGAGCCCAACATGCTTTGACCTCCTGCCCAGGCTGGACCCCAGAGTACCCCTTCTGACCACCCAGTTGCCCTTACCTCCTCTGAACTCCATTCATCCCCAGCCCCAAACATCACAATAACACTGAAAGCCTCTGCTTTGAGATCAGGATGTTGACTATCCCTAACTTACATGGGTGCTCTCCCACAGCTGCCTGGGGAGGTGACACCGTCTATTTTCCCCGCAGTTACCATAACCATAACCAGCTCTGCAGTTAGCAAGGCCCCTGGACATGACAGTATGCCTAATGAGACGAAGAAACACCTCCAGCAGAATTGTAGTTCATTTATCCATGTTAACTGGCCATTCATAATCATTCCCCAAGTCCCAGCGCGCTGAGGGAGGAAGTGCCCAGGTCACCAGGGCAAGGTTAGTCTGGCTTTGGGATCCCTCCTCCTTCCCAATGTAGGACAACTCAGAGTTGGTATTTCCACTGTTTAAGCCACACCCCCTGCAGATAATCAAATGAAACATCATGCTGAGAATGTTTCTTTTCGCAGAGAAAATTGGTCTTGGCCAGATAAAAACTTATAGGGCCTTGTTCAGCATCCCCACCCCAACCCCACCCCAGGGATGAAGCCCTGCCTTAGGACAGTCACTGGACTGGAACTTGGTGTCTAGGATATTTTTCTGCCTCTGTGTTTGACCTAGGTGCTCCACCAAAACTGTTCATTTGTTTGTTTGTTGAGCAGTGATTGGCGATGAGTCAAGCCCTGAGTCCCACCTCCAGGGTCTCCCTACAAATTCGTTTAGAATGGAGAGTTCCCATGGGAAAATGCGGCTCCTCTTATCCCTGATGCCTCCTGGCACAGTAAACTCCGACTTCCTGAAGAGAATCCACCTGCCTCGTTCGTTTCCACTGATGTTTTCCAAACTTTTTCAACTTGGCGCCTAATCCTGAGGGAACTTGGTTGGAAATGAGCGCCTTGAAAGTCCGATGGGATGTTCCCATAAAAGCGGGCTGTGTGCTCTGGGCCATCCACCAGTCCTAGCCTGGATGAGACTTGAGGAATGTGGGGTTACCCAGGGTCTCTGCCCCCTCCCTCCCGGCATTCCCTACTCACTGACCTGGGAGGCTAAGAGCATCTTCTGCCCATTGTGGAGAAAGAGGGAGCCAAAACCTGCCCAGGACTCTGGGATGAACCAGTTGAGTGGCTCTGCTTGGCACCCCCAATTCAGGATGAGTCTGCATCTCCAAAATTATCATGGCGTGCTCTGGCCGACACAGTGAGTTCCGAGCGTGTAGGGTGTTTGGAGGCTTTTTCCATTTTTTCTTTCTTTCCTGCCATGCCAGTTTTCCAAAGAGATTCATCTTCTCCAAATGTCAGGATTGAATTATGAACGTTTTCCCAGCCCACTCCCTTCTGTACCGCATCTCCAGCCTACTGCAAACTGAGGCCTAGGATTAGGAATCGACTGTGGAAGCCTTCCAATCTGCCTTTCAAGAGGGATCAGCCGCGGGGGGGGGGGGGGGCCACATTGGAATGCCACAGGAAAGCAGGCTGCCCCCCTCGGCACAGCAGAGCCTCGGCGCTTACTAATGCAGAATTCGATTATGTGCTGACTGTCCCTGAGAAATAAGCTCTCCCCACCGCCAGGAAGCATGTGGAAAGTCCAGAGTCAGCAGGTAAAGCCCCCTCCCCTCTGCTACCCCCCACCTCCCCGCACCAAGCTCCACTTGTCATTCGTAGCCCATGCATTTATTCTAATTCTTTATTCCTTGTTATTCTGTCAATTTCTTAATCTATTTATGCTGACTTTATTTTTAGTGTGCCTATTGTGGCAGCAGATTCTGAAATTGCCTTGGTTGTTTTCTGAAAAAACGGTCATTACTAAACCATCGTATAGACCCCCCAATAAAATAATGTAAGCCCCAGGCAGTTTGTGGGAGGCTGCAGCAGCTGTCTGCCGTTGGAGCTGCATATCAATTCTGCCCTTGGAGGGTTTGCCTGGGAGCGGCCCAGCCCAAGCAAAGCAGTATGTGTCCCGTGGAATGAGGCTTTGGGTCCTGCAGAAAAAAACGCTTGCTGCCACCCCTTCTGGAGGCGTTTTTTTCCCAACGCTCATACCAGCTCCCTAAGTTTTGTCGCCTTGGTATAAAAAATGCAAATGATTGGAAAACCAATTAATCTTTAGAAGGTCACAGTTGTCTTGCTGCATTCAAGAGACAAGCTGTGCATTTGGGAAGATTAATTGGTTTTCCAATCATTTGCATTTTTTATACCAAGGCGA